CCCCATTATAATCGCGACACATTATAAACTTTTGCCAAATGATTCCGGGCTGCATACTATTCCAAGAACCTTTGACATCTCGCACAATAAACCGCATCTCTTCCAAATGTGTGAACATAATGTAACTACATACATGTTAAAGTATTTAGTTACCCTCAGTTGTTTCTGGTCCCGACCTATTTTGAAAATAAAAGCATCAAGGACATAAACAAACGCACAAAACTTGGGCATTGCATTCATCAACCTGTTTGTCTTTTAGATGGAGAATCTCTAATACTGTAACTTTGTTGGTCTTGAAACCAAACGGTAGTTTCTTTGACATTCAGAATCACCATAACTGCATGAATGAGCCTATTTTCCATACAACAGTTTTGGTGTAATTCACCATTTTCAATAAGCTGTGAATAAAATCCTTAAATTTCTGTCACTTTAATACATAAATTAAAGATCTGCACCTCCTTTTATTAACTCCGATTTTTGCAGAAATATTAAAACTTGACATTGCAAAGCTTGGATGCAGACACGTGACAGGTTTTGCTGAATAGAGACTACTCTAACAACCCAGGAAAAAAAACCTGAATAATCTGTTTGGTTCTTTACATCGACAGTTTCGGTTTAATTTGAAACGCGAACAAGATGACAAAGTTAGGGAGACAACTGGATATAATCGGGTTCGAAATTATAATTTGATGAATGAAATGATTAAATTCTGTGATTTGTTTTAAATATCCTTTATGATTTTCTTATGTAAAATCGGTGAGGGGATAAAAATAGACGTTTGGCTAGCAAGAGGTATGTCATTACACTGTTGATGATTGAATTGTAAATTTTCAGAAGCTGATCTTAAATTTGTTTCATTTTACATAAACTAATGCCAAAAAACTGATTTTCCGTATGTTTTAATGTTATTTAACACACAAAAATCTCTTCAGAATGAACTTAGATCTACGGTACAGGTGAATGGGCTACAAAAGAAAATGACGTTAGGAGAGATAACCGTGTTTGGTATATCTGAAAATCCGAGGCAGGTCTTAGTGAATGGAAAGCACAGTGCACACTCCTATGACACCACGAACAAGGTAAATACAACATCTGATAACTTAGATATGCGTGTCACTGGGACTTATTGCAGTAAAAGTCTGTTTATTCAAAACACATTCATCCATATATTCATTTAATTCGAATCCCATGAACCTCTTCACCTCCCCATTAGCAAATTTGGTATGAAATAAACCCATTTATCTAAACTTCCACCTTCCGCGTACATTAAAACACGCAAATAATCTTCCTCTGTCCTTATCACAAACATTTTTTAAAATTACTAATGAATTGATGATTATTGATATTCAATCCGTTAGATGATTGAATATCATCAAAAGTTGTAAGTTTGTAAAAATATCATCACAATAATCATCATCATAATCATCATCATCGTCGTCGTCATCATCACCATCATGAACTCTACCATTAGTGTTATCATCATCATCATCGTCATCACGAACTCCACCATTAGTGTTGTCATCATCATCATCATCATCATCATCATCATCATCATCATCATCATCATCATCATCATCATCATCATCATCATCATCACCATCATTCACAACATCAACAAAAACTACAACAAACTTCTTTTTTTTTGTATTACAACGTTTTCATTTAATATTATCTTCTTTCATTTTAGGTTCTAAACATTCAGCGCTTCCAGATAGATATGTTGTCCCCAATTCATGCAACGTGGTCATGAAACATGCCTATATTTTATTTTAATGTTTAAATTGTCCAAAAAAGTATATAAAATTTGTTAAATTGACTTCTCAGAGTTTCTGTTTTTACGCTTCCTGTAAACTGCATTTCTTTCAGATAGTGTGTTTACGAAAATTTTCATTTAACTTTGTGTCGAGATAAAATTAAGAAAAAATCTAAGATATTTCTAGAGTATGTACTTCTTGCAAAGTCATTTCTTCTACGAACATCGTAACAATGATTTCGGATTTGATTGACAAGAATAAATTTATTGCACTTAATATCACTAATTATCCGAATAATTTATAATTTATAGATAAGTATGTGCAACAAAACTCTCACAAAAGTCATCCCCTTTAAACTATTTTCTGCAGCCAGCCATGAAATGTATGTATGTATGTATGTATGTATGTATGTATGTATGTATGTATGTATGTATGTATGTATGTATGTATGTATGTATGTATGTATGTATGTATGTATGTATGTATGTATGTATGTATGTATGTATGTATGCATGCATGCATGCATGCACGAACGCACGCACGCACACACGCACGCACGTACGTACGTACGTACGTATGTATGTATGTATGTTAGGACAGAAATTTAAGCTAAAACTAATAACATTATAATTTCCTTTAAATTGTATTGAAACGACTTTTAGTTGGATTAAATTCTCATTAAATTATAGTGGGGGTAATTTCCATTAAAATATATGCAAATTAACTCATTTATTAGAGCTATATTTTATTTTGATAAAGAATGCTAACTCAATGAATAACCCTTTACAATAAGTACAATTCTTCTCTTTTTTAAACATGCATATGCCTACTCAGCAAATAACACTCAGTGGGAAATTAATTTGTAAGGCACTGTCTAATTTAGTAAGCTAGGTTTCAACCATAATGCTGATGATGCAGAATATGACGCAAAGAACATATACGATTCCATTAGGACAAAATTGATCTCTCCAGTTTGGATGATGCAGTACAGGCATGATGCTAGCATGACATACTTCTATCCAGGTCTTTTCCAAAAATGGTTAGGGGCATCTTGAACCAGTATAAATAAGCGCGCAAAAGCTAGTATCTCCAGCCTGCTTGCTCCAAGCTAGAATAGATTCCTCTCGCATTTCATTACAACATCCCGTACCTACGCCCTGCCAAGCGTTTCTCAAGAGATGTAGCCGTATCTACACCATTATGTATTATTCCTTTTAAAGACACTTTAACCAACCTCTCTCTCTCTCTCTCTCTCTCTCTCTCTCTCTCTCTCTCTCTCTCTCTCTCTCTCTCTCTCTCTCTCTCTCTCTCTCTCTCTCTCTCTCTCTCTCTCTCTCTCTCTCTCTCCCATGGGTCGAGACAGTTCTTAGGACATGAATAATTCCTTGTTATAGCAAGAAATGAGAAGATTATGATAAACTTTTTATCATAATGTATGTATGTATGTATGTATGTATGTATGTATGTATGTATGTATGTATGTATGTATGTATGTATGTATGTATGTATGTATGTATGTATGTATGTATGTATGTATGTATGTATGTATGTATGTATGTATGTATGCACGCATGCATGTATGTATAGCAGCAGTAATATTGGAGGCAACTGTAGCAGTAGTATTAGAGTTTGTAGTTGTTGATGGTTTTTTGATGTCGTCAACCAACCTCGTATCCAGAACACAGTGACTAATTCATTAATTAAGAGCGGCGAATGAGTGATACTGCTGTTGATTGATAGTAAATGTATTTACGATGTATCTACACGTTAAATGCAATCACTATCACACTCAGCAATACCTGAAAACCGCTGTTTGTATGACTAAGAGTATTTCTTCTTGTTTCTTCTGTCATTTCACGACGATTATGTCTCTATGTTTTAGTGAAGAAAGTGCATAGCGATGGAGGGAGAAATCAAAACGTAAAAATTCAATATGCGTGGAATATTAATCCCAAAAGTAATGAGATGTGACTATACTGTTGCCTCGCAAATGCCACATATTTTATATTATGAAAATGCAACTAAATTGGGAATTGAGATGATTTCGTAACTTGTTTTTATTATAGGTGTAAGAATCAATTCGTATCGTTATGTATAACTTTTAGATTACCTTTTTTACGAAACACTCTCTAGAAACTTTAATAATTGTACCATAAAAATCACACCAAAGAAAAATTGATTCAAAGATAATTTTAAAAAAGCTTCAGTAAAAACAGCGTCGAATTCGCAATCCTCCTCTGATCCGCCAATTAACAATATTAGTTTATGGATACACTAAATATGTTTGCTTAGATTGTAATCATTAGATAGATGATCGGTAATGTTGTAATCACTGAATAGATGATTAGTTTGATTGTAATAATTAAAAGATGTATAATTGGTCAGATTGTAATAAATCATATAGATGATTAGTCAGATTGTTCTTGTTGCTGTTGTTGTACTGGGGCTTAACGCCATTTTTCAGCACACCATACATGGTGTCCAGTATTATTGGTGGAGGAAGAAACCGCGATTTACAAATTATTTCAATTTACCATAACATGTTTTTGCTTTATATAGCTGTAATTAATATTATTACACATTATCTACATATATAATATTACTTTGTTACCTTTAAAAATTTTGAACTGCGCTAGCTTAATAGTTAACGTACTGAAATCAAAATTCTTTTGTTTTGGGTTAAAGTCCTGTCATGTGGGATGTTTCTGGTCAAGGGACTTAACTTCATTAGCTTCAGTGCTAAGCAATCATTCTGTATTGTCACCACTAACATCGAAATGGGTTCTTCCCCCCCCCCATTGTACAATAAGCTATAACAAGGGTATTTCAGGAAGACATCACAAAAGTAGTATAAAATGAGGAAAATGTCACATCAAACGCAGTACCAATTTACTGCTAGTAACAAAAACCCATAACCACAACTACACAATGAAAATTTAGGAACAATATACTAGACACGAACTGATATGACTTGAAAAGTGACGTCACTTTAGCCTCAGGTGTATCACATTCATTATTATTATTATTATTATTATTATTATTATTATTATTATTATTATTATTATTATTATTATTGTTGTTGTTGTTGTTGTTGTTGTTGTTGCTTTTTTGTTTCTATCAACCCGATATTTCCTATTGTCGCATGCCAAGTGAGAAAATTCATTATGTTGTTCTATCACCCCTGACTGCTTGTGCTGAGACAAACAAAAGCACATCATCACCAACAGTCTTCTGCACCTCATTAACAGCTCCGGTGTCTTAGTGGTTAGAGCTTCCGCCTTGTATGCGGGAGGTTGCGAGTTCGAACTCCCACCGAGTCTCACCGAAGACTTTTAAAAAATGGTACTAGTGTCCGAGGCAGCTTGGCGCTCAGCAGTAAGTGGTTAGTTTTTAGGATTGGTCAGCCTGGTTTCAGGATAATCTGACTAGATGGGGCATCATGCCATATGTCTGCGGCATAATACAACAGTGCTAAACATCACTATAACACTGTCACACTGCGGACATCGTAGCGATATGACTGAAATTATTTTAAAGCTACAATAAAAATCTACATCACACACACACACACACACACACACACACACACACACACACACACACACACACCGCACCTGAGTAAAACACTTTGTACAAACGCACACCGCACCGCAGTTAAACTATCATCGCTGCTACGTTAGCGGCTCTGCTATCTTGCGATTTACTATTCTAGTGTTGAATATATCCCTGTGCCGACCAGCTTGGCGAACACTTATGTATGTCTTGAGTCTAGCATAATAACAGTAAACCAAATGATGTATTTTGCTGTGATGACTTTCTGTTAATACGTCTTGACCCTAATTTAAACTAAGAAACATTCCTGATAAATTTTGCTAAATTGTGTTGTTTGTGTTTTGTTTTTTCTTTGTGTGTGTGTGTGTGTCTGTGTGTGTGTGTATGTGTGTGTGTGCAAAACACAAAATTGTCCCATGTTCATTGGAGTATTTCCTATGTTAAATCTTCAGTTTTGGAGGTGATTAGTTTTCGCATAGTCAAGATATTCATTACGGAGAAAATAAATCTTGCATGCATTCCAAAATCTCAGAACGCCTAAATATGAAGATTTTATTTAATTAAAAAAGAACCTGTTTAACGTATTGATTTGAGATTGCTTGAAAGAGATATTTAGTTAAAAATGAGATGTCATGTTTTGTTACAATAGGAAGAAAACATTATTCGTGTTAGCAGTGATTGTGTAAGAAAAAGCTCCACATTTGTGGTAAAGGATGATAAAAAGATTATCGGATTATTCCCAGTAGATTGTTGAAATGAAAGTTGATATGCTAGCGACAAAATAATTGTGATCATTTAATAGTAGTAGTAGTAGTAGTAGTAGTAGTAGTAGTAGTAGTAGTAGTAGTAGTAGTAGTATTCCCAGTAGATTGTTGAAATGAAAGTTGATATGCTAGCGACAAAATAATTGTGATCATTTAATAGTAGTAGTAGTAGTAGTAGTAGTAGTAGTAGTGGTAGTGGTAGTAATAGTAGTAGTAGTAGTAGTGGTAGTAATAGTAGTGGTAGTAATAGTAGTAGTAGTAGCTGTGGTAGTGGTAGTAATAGTAAATAAAATAAGTAGACAAAATAATTGTGATCATTTAATAGTAGTAGTAGTGGTAGTAGTACTGGTAGTGGTAGTAATAGTAGTAGTAGTGGTAGTAATAGTAGTGGTAGTAATAGTAGTAGTAGTAGTAGTAGTGGTAGTGGTAGTAATAGTAGTAGTAGTAGTAGTAGTAGTAATAGTAGTAGTAGTAGTAATGGTAGTGGTAGTAATAGTAGTAATAGTAGTAGTAATAGTAATAGTAGTAGTAGTAGTAGTAGTAGTAATAGTAGTGATGGTGGTGATAAACAAAGGTCTATTGTTCATATTGTTGCTGCTTGTGCATGTGGTGGTGGTAGTTGTAGTAACAGTGTCAATACAGTGGTAAAAAATAAATATCGCTTTACAACAATTTGTCCTGCCTATTTTGAACCATGAATACAAATTACGTTTGTTTGAAAATCTCTAATTAGCAATGTTGATTAGTAATTTACGATAGAAATGTACTAATTATCAAGGAAAGAATATGTAAAACATGCAGCACTTCTGCATACAATTCCTAACCAACTGCAAATAGCATCGACCCCCAATGTGTCGTCGTATAATGTAACGCATATCAGATACTATAGTGTTTGTTGTACAGATAACTCCTAACAAACTGTATAAACCCAGACCAGCAAATCCCGATTTATGCAGTTTGTTGTTTGACCTGACTGCATGCGTGTATATACGGTAGTTTTGTTTTCTGTTTTCCATACAGACGATTAATTCTTTACTGTATAATCCATCATAGTTAACTTATGATAGATGATAAATCAGTACCGTATTCATGGCTGATTATCTATTGTACCATTATTATTATTATTATTATTATTATTATTATTATTATTATTATTATTATTATTATTATTATTGTTATTATTATTATTATTATTATTATTATTATTATTATTATTATTATTATTATTATTATTATTATTATTATTATTATTATTATTATTATTATTATTTAGGCTTCTACTCCACTTATTTTTGTCAGTTTTCAAAATGAAGACGTGGGCTGTGACGATGACTTTTTCATTACTTACACATTTTGGTATAAACTGTCTGGAAACGGCAACAACCACTGGAAACGAAAACCCACGCTGATGATGCTATTGATGCTGACAAATTATAATGGTGGCAGTAGCGACGATGGCGAAGAAGAAGACCTGTGTGCGTGTGTATGATTTAGATTTTAAAGTAACTTATAACTCTTTTCAGTCATATCGATACTGTCTGCATTGTGTCAGTTTACAGTGATGTCTAGCACTGGGACATCATGCCCAAGTCACATTATCCTGACACCAGGCCGACCAGTCCTCACACTAGCCTCTTAATACTGAACGCATAGCGAGGCAACTGTAAGTACCATGTACCATTTCGGGGTTCGAACGCGCGCACTCTCGCGATTGAGGCAGACACTCTAACTACTAGGCCACCTGAGGGGTCAAGAAGAAGAAGAAGAAGAAGAAGAAGAAGAAGAAGAAGAAGAAGAAGAAGAAAATGATGATGATGATGATGATGATGATGACGACGATGACGATGATGATGATTATAAGAAAAAGGTAAAGAATTACGATGACTATGTTTCGTACTAAAAATACAATTATAAACATAATGTATACCAACCAGGCAAAGAATCGTTTGTTCACTTTGAGCATGCTTTTTTCTCTTGAGTGTCCATTTCTCTTCCGCCACTGTCAATAAATTAAGTGCTTGCTGTCCCCTATTTATATAGTAAGTGTATAAATCATAGTTTTAAGTGATACGTGTCTTCCCGGAAAGAATTCAATCGAGTTCAATGTTCAACTAACATTTATCATCAACGCATAATGTGATATAACTTGATATATCTTACTTAATTCGTGACAGAACTCCAGGTATATTAGATTATTCCGACCACCAACCGGGCGACGAAGAATAGATGAACATGTAAATGACGACAGCATCATCCATAACACTCCACATAATCAAATAGCTGGAGGGGAGTCTTTTGCTTTGCCAAGGCTTGCTTCCTTGCTGTCTCGTCTTGCTATCCTCTCACCCCCTCATCCCCACCCCCTTCCATAGCCTAAAGTGAACGTGGCGCCAGTAAATTTTTTGAGAGTGACAATATTAAATTTATAAATGTCTGTTCTAGAAATAGTATATACACAAAGAGTTTGTTTAAACTAGGGTCTGTAGGTTTGCACTCAGGATCATCGGGATTGGCAATAAAAATGTTGCATGGCATAATGCGAGGGTGCAGAAGAGCAGGAATACAGAAAAAGAGGTGAGAAGACAGCAATAAGGAGTGGACATTCATGGGATTTGGAGAGTCAAAAACGGTAGTAGAGAACAGGGCAAGATGGAGAGATCTGTTTGTAAAGTCATATATATATATATATATATATATATATATATATATATATATATATATATATATATATATATATATATATATATATATATATATAGTAATAAAACTAAGGAGATGCGCATTTAGTACAAGCAATTTGTAGGTTTGTGTGATTACATGTTTGATTATTGGAATTCGGTGCAATGGGAAATATTCCTTAGCACGAAATAATTAGTCAATTATTAGGAGCAAACGTCATGGAGAGATAGTGTTAGTGAGTTTCTAAGATGCCATGATCAATGAGTAGCGAACTCAGACCCAATCCGCATGATTGTCCCTGTCGTGGTATAGCACTTTATAAAATCTAGCGGTGTACATCGGAGTTGTGACTGCAGCGGCAGTAATTATGGTAGGAAGCCGGTAAATTACACTATGTAATAAATGAGAAAGGAAGATATCGTTTATAGTGACAAATGTGACGTAGGTTTACTGGTGTGATGTGCCTTGAAACGGTAGATCGACTGGCCTCAGGTGGGCAGTTAAAATAGTCCACCATTTTAGGGATAGTTTTAGAATTTCTAGGGTGTGAACTACTAGCGGAAAGGAAAGTTCATGTAGAGAAATTTTGCGGATGTGCGGTTGATGGTTATTTGGTGATTTCTAACACTGGAACATCATGCCTGGACCAGCGTTCTAACCCGTGACCTCCCGCATCAGGAGCGATATATATATATATATATATATATATATATATATATATATATATATATATATATATATATATATATATATATATATATATATATATATATATATATACATACAAACACACACACACATACGTACATACATGGGTGAGGGGTAAGCTGTATAAAGATGTATCATATAAACTATCGTAATTGCATAAAAGCACATCTCAAATTTAACTACTGTACAAGTGCTAAATTGTTAATATTTAAAAGCTCTGATTGATGCATTAAGTTATAGTTAATGTACACGAAAGGATCTTCTATTGTGGAAATGTGTTCTTTACATGACAAAATCTCACATGTACTCGGTAAAACGTGTTTTTGTACGTGAAAATTATTGTTCAGGAAAATTATTTTTCTTTACCTACTTACTAGACTTTCAAGGCAGGAAGTCTATCACTATGATATGCATAGTGATTAAACTGAATTTTTAAAACTTTTGGAGCAAAGGGTCAATTAGATAATAGTTTAAAGTTCATTTTACCTTTGTAGAATGAATAATACAGATATACTTGGTATTAAAAGTCAAAATTAAAATGTCATTATACCGGTCACACTTAAACGTTTAATTTCCCAAATTTAAAAATCGCTAGACCACTAATAATTTTATGCGTT